GCATCACTGGTTGCACATTGGATGCACCTGAAGCATTTTAAAAATATTGACTCATGGAGCCCACCCCCAGAGTTTCTGATTTTATTGGTCTGGGGTGGGGCTCAGACATTGGTACTTCATAAACAATCTCTAGGTGACTCTAAAATGCAGCTTGGGGTAAGAACTATCAGATTAGATGTTATCTAAGACTTCTTTCAGTTCTATGACGCATATAAACTACTCTGCCTCTGCAAACAAGAAGAAATATTTTCTTACTCCGCCCTATGGAGCTCATTCATTCTTTCACATTGCCCCAGCAACAGTATAAACAGTTTATATTTTTTAACTGAGAATCAAGAAACAAGATACAGACTCTTTCTACTAAACTTCTACAGCAAGATTAAGCAACAGAGGGTAGGAATTCCAGAGTCAGGGGAACCCAACCAAACTTCCAAGCACAATAAGTAATTTATAGTCAAGGTCAAGTTTCTATCTATTCTAAGGCTGAAGATATAGAGAAACAGTCCTGAGGTAAAGTTAATTTAGCCAACGGATAGGGTCTACAACCAAGAACAACTGGGTCTAGTCTCCAAAGAGAGTGGAGAAAATCTAGAGAACAGAACCAGGTTTCTACATCAAGGTCATATGCATCAGAGGTCAGAACCAAGAGAGCTAAAGAAAATGCCACATACAGGTTCAGAGGCTGGAACACTGTTGGAAATAAAGTGATCACCAATAAAGTGGGACCCTCAAAGCTTTAAACACGACCCAGTCTCCCACTGGGGTGTAATTAAACCCTACATTGCCAACATATTTGCTCCCTTGTCCTTCTCCAACTTTGCATTTGTATTTTACATTTATTCCTTTTATTTTCATATATGTTCTCTCTGTGTATGAATATTTGAGCCCCAACTAGAACACGAGCTCTTTGAAAACAGAGATGATTAAATATTCTTCTCCTTGTGTAATGCTTCAGTCACATAATTATATGGAGAGCACAAAACATACTTGATATAAATGTAGGTAAATTAAATGCTTAAATACATTTCCTGGGGAAAAATTGAACAAATGTATCCCCATACAGAGCACATGCCAATCTGGGTAAAAGCTGTATACCAACATTACCTGTGTATAAGATAATTCTGTATGTGGGTATGCTGAGTGTGCGAGAAGCCTCGGCTCACACAGACGCCAGTTAAGGGACATCATTCATTATGTCATTGGAAGGTAGATGCCAGCATGCAGGGCTGTGAGCTTCTTGGTCATTTGAACATGTGATAGGCTATAGAGATAAAGCATAAGTGAATAGGGAGTCATGGTGTTGAATTTCTAAAGTTAAAATTTCTGTGAAAAATAAACAAGAGTGTGACTTTTAAATGGCATAAAGAAAGACTTTTATCTATAAAGATATATGTACTTTTATGTTCACTGCAGCATTATTCACAGTGGCCAAAACATGGAAACAACCAGTGTCTTCGATAGATAATTGGATAATTGGATAAAGAAGATATGGTACATATATACAATGCAATATTACTCAGCCATAAGAAAAGATGAAATATTGCCATTTGGAACAACATGATGGATCTTGAGATTATCATACTAAGTGAAAACGTTGAGAACCATATGATTTCACTTACATGTGGGATATAAAACTGAAAGCAACAACAACAACAAAAGATAAACAAATAAAAACTCATAGACACAGACAACAGTTGAGTGGTTACCAGAGGGAGAGGGA